TTACTAATATTATATTTCCCAAATCTTTTACATCATTAACTTTTACTTGAATGAGTTCATCGCATCTACAAGCTCCTGTGACTCCAAATATTAGTGCAACCTAAAAAATATAGAATTATTAATTTTGTAACAATAAAAAAAGTTGGAAAATGCAAGGAAATTCTAAAACATGACGTAATTTTAAGACATCTATATTTATGAGTTTTTACAACATTCTTCCAATGAGCTATCTTTATTTCCGAAAATTGTTTATTATTCTCGTAATGGATACTATAAAATAACTTGAAGTTTACAAATTATAACAAAATTTTGTATTACAAATATAAAAAGGTTAAATATATATCTACCTATAATTTAAAAAGTACATACCTTGGTTGCTAAATATTTATCATCAGGTGCTTTATTCAGGAATTCGTCAAATTCTTTTTTAGACAAAACTTTCGACTTTTTTGGTTTATAATTTTCACCTTGTCGTTTCAAAAATGTAATTAATTTTGAATATTTCTCAATATTTACATTGTGTTCTATGTTTAATTTAGATTTTACCATTGAATATTGCGCCCATAAAGTTGAACTTTTCAGTGTTCTGGATAATCTTGTAAAATATGCTATCATCACATTTTCTGAATAAATATGTGCATTATTTTCTTTTGCCCAATTTATGAATTTATCATAAGCATTTTCATAAATTTTTCTCGACTTTGTTGGTATAAGTGTTGCCACTGATGTATTTGCAATTTCCAGTAATTCTGGTGGTGTGCACTGCATTTCTTCAGACATTTTAAAAACGACCCGACGCGACATCAAATTTCAACTGACACTTAATGAAACGTCAAAGCTTCTTGAATCTTTAATTCGTTGCTAGGATACTTACCTACACATTGTTACATTTTTTTACTAGTTAAAAAATGAAAAATATTTGTACTAGTTAAACAATAGGCTGCTTCTAAAGGAGGTGTTGCACTATATAATATAAGTATTATTATACGCTTGAAGAAAAAATTTATTAAATTGCTAGTAACTAGTGAAAATAAAATCTCATCGGATATCATATTGCTTGCTACTGCTGGTTTATGTGTGGAATAAAGGATTCAATATAGTTTGTATAAACCAAGTCGGCCGCCTACAATTAATTGCAAACTAACTGTCTCATATCTCCGAAGAAAACATTTCAGGAAAAAAAGTTACTCTTGTTTTCTGTATGAAATATCCCAACGCCCGGAGGTGGAAACGGGGAATCGTCTTTTATTCCTTCATTTCCTCGTACGCCTCCCTTAAAAAAACACCAAAATAAGGCGGAACTCTTCTTCGGATACAATAAAACTGTCTCCCTAACGAATGTTTGTTCCCCCCACCGGGCCGTTCCTCTCCTCTTCTCAAGGCCGACGTCTTATTATGTCCGCAGGTGAAACTGTTCCATCCCCCTTCCCTCCCAGCGGGGTGCAGCAGGTGCCGGGCGGGCAGACGCCCCAGGGGCAGCCGCCTCCCTACCCTATCGCCGCCATCGGGACCCCCTCGGCCGCCCACCTGCCGCCCATAAGCCATGCCCTGCTGCAGCAGCAGCTCCTGCAGAACCCCCACTTCACGGCACAGGCCAACGCCAACAACAATCATACCGGTAAGTTGGAAATTTCTTTTCTTTTCGTATGTACAGAAATTAGAGGGAAATTGAGGTGAAAACCAGCCTCATTATAAATAAATGTAACGTGAATCTGTCGAATAAACGTAAGTGTCAAAATTAATAATTTTAGGAAATGTTCATGAAAAACTTTCTATTTCTAGAAAGGATAATAAACTGATAACTGAGGATAACTGATTCATATCATAACTTTACTGAAATTGTCTCAGAATTCAAAGAATAATTCTGTTATAATTAATATCTGTTAAACAATGAAGAACATTTTTACTGTTCACAAATTTAAATTACCTAATTTAGAAAGGATTATCCGCCAAATGCATATTATAAACATTACTAAATTAAGTAAATCTGTGTAAAATGTTTCTATTGGAAAAAAAATCGATCGTTATCTAGAGATTTTTTTGCCGTAAGACTTTCTCTATCCTTCTGAGGAATACTATTGTGATTTACGAGCTACTAATTTTATATTTTTGCATTATTCCATCCATATTTTACAAAGAAAAGAGTATATAAATTGATTAGAATTGATTACCTTTCTCCGAACATGCAGTACGACATACCGAGTGTCCAGGAAATGATGGTTAATCTCTCGGATTTGGGTAGGACTTGCAAAAATAATGTCACAACTTTTTAAAAAATGTTTTGTTATTCGGGTTCACCCTGTAGAATTACACAGGTCAACATTTTATCTAGGCATGTGCACGGGAATCGAGGGTTTTTTGGGTCGCTGATTACGATGAGCGGGTCGGTTAGGCTACATCACGTCAAGTTCAAGGTCATTTGAAGGTCAAACGGTCAAAAAAACCTTCCAAAAATCTGAAAAAATGTATGGACATGATTTTGAGGTCTCTGAATCCGAATCCGGTGTTTATTTTTACTTTGCATGCATCCTCGAGGTCATTCAAGGTAATCTCAAGGCAGGTATTCTAGTTCTGTGGCACAATTGTTCATTTCGCAGATTGGGATTGTTACCATGTCATGCATTAATGAGATTTATACCAGAAAAGATTCTTTGGAAAATGACTACAGAATCCAGGTAAAAAATTAGAATCCAGGCTGTCTATCTGACTTGTTTTTTTTTCATATATCTATATATTTACCAAGTAATGAACACAAATTTAAAATGGAAACTTAACATTTAGAGAAAAACGTTATATATTTTCACTTTTTCACCCTCATCTCCTAATTTCAGGGTCCTCGAAAACATACGTATGAATTTTTTCAGATTTTTCGTATGGTACTTATCATTTTTTTCTCAAAAACCCCTCAAATGAGCTTGAGATGACCTTGAATGACCTCGAGGATGCATGAGAAGTAAAAAAAAACCACCGGATTCGGCTTTAGCGACCTCAAAAATATGTCCATGAATTTTTTCAGATTATTGGAAGGTTTTTTAACCGTTTGACCTTCAAATGATCTTGAATTTGACGTGATGGAACCTAACCGACCCGCTCATCGTAATCAGCGACCCCAAAAACCTTGGGATACCATCTTCGATTCCCGTGCACAAGCCTAGATAAAATGTTGACCTGTGATATTATCTCTTGAAGTAGAGAGTTGAAAATCGATTTTTTGTTCTAACTTTTTTGTTTTTCATTATGTTCGCATGATTTTTGGGTAAAAGTTAGGCCATTTGAAGCTATTTCTACCAACGTATTTAATATACTGATATCTACTTCGGGTGTCTGGAAGCAAAGCGCCTCCGACAGTTTTGGTACCCATTTAGGACCCCCCATATCATATAAGGTTTTTTTGTTTATTTTAATGTATTCTATCTTCTGTTAAAATTAAGGCCAAAGGTCAAACTTCTAATACCCTGTATAAACTTTTCCTAAACTTCCTGTATAGTTTTTTGTCTATGAAAAACTGCAATTTTCAAACATGACACTTCTACTCCTCAATTATAGCAATATTTTGTGATAAAAAAATAGTGAATGATAATTAATGTTACCAATTTTTACAGGGTGTCCAAAATCGATTGGGCAACTTCTTTGATTGAAAATAAAAATAAATTTTACCGCTGATAATCTTCAGAGGAGTAATAATTTCTGCGACAATGATTTTTATAATTTTTAATTTCTATACAATTTCTATAAAAAATCTATTTTTTCTGTTTTTTATATATGTATTTCTATAAAAAAAATCCTATATATTTTTTTTTTGTAACCAATAGTTTGGTTTAGTTATTTTCGACATGTTTTCACTATTTTTTAGCAATAAATAAAGGTGGAGTTTTATATATCAACACCCATGTTTTTTTTTAATTTTTCAAGGAAATAATATGGCAAAAAACAAAGACCTTTTTCGGTATCCTTAGCAACCTTTTGGGTAAAAAATATTCCTAATGTTCATCTTCGGCTACCGCAAAAATTCCCCTGATTCATTAATTCATTGAAACAAAACAAAATTGTACTGAGATAACCAGATCTATATCGTTTTTATTTTTCATTCAAGGAAGCTATAACCTTGAAACACGGCCCGTTTGTTTTCGGACGCCCTATACGTTATACATTTTATCCCTTCGTACCCCAAATCGAATTGTATATTACAAGGGTAACATCTCTCGTGAACCATGCATGAACAATTTTTGAAAGAAAATAATTGCTTTGCTTGGTAATTTTTAAGTCACCCTTCTGTATAAACTTTGGAATTTAAGACAGTAGCGTACTTAAAAAAATTATGGGCACTTTGTAGGCCTATTACTAGCATGCAATTAACCTAGCTTTGGTAATTCTGAAAGTGGCGCTCCCTCTGATATGTGATTAGAATCGGATCTTGGTAACTTCGACCAATTTCGTCTTTTAAATAATAGATTTAAACGGTCGATTCTGCGGTATTGTTAGAAAGCAGAACGAAGTTAGTGAAGATGGCGCTCATTAGGCTAATTATTGTCTTCCCCTGAATCCCATTCATTATGCTAATGTTTCCTGGGGATGGGAGAACAAAATCTGAAGGTAGCTGGATTGTTGCAATTCGGTCAAAAAAGTGGAGTCGAGGTGGTAACCTGAGAACATATTAATTAAATACAGCTTTACCCTAAAAGGATCAGTGAAATCCTATTTTTGCCCAACCAAAAAATGCACTTCATTATATCGCGCACTAATTTCGAAAAATCAATCTATTTTCATTAGCAATACTGTTTTTTTTTTAATTAGTTTTGACAGTTTAAGATTGTCTGTCTGCTTCCATAACTAATGTATCATGTGGTTTACGTTTTATTTTTATTTTTCTGTGTGTATAAAAATAATCCATTATTGATCCTTTTGGCTCAAATTTTTGTTTTTAATTAATGTTTTCACAGGTGACCAAATCCCCAATAAACAGAGAAATAACTAAAAGTATGCCATAAAAAAATAACCAATCAATATTGGGAAATTTGGTCAAATTTAATTAATTTTGTATGTTTTTATCAGCGGTTCTGCTGACGATACGTTTGCTTGTAACTTGATAACGATTTTCTTATTATTAACATAATAATAATAACTGACACATATTTCGTCGACTGATTATTAGTTTGTTCTATGTCCATTTCTGTTTCAAATTGTCATTTTAGCATCACAATATATTTTACAACTGTTTTAATCTACCTGCAATAAAAAAATTCAGACTTTAGATAATATACATTCGGTAATTATCGATTTTATTAATGGAGATAGATTATCCCAATTTTAAAATAAATTGTTTCCAAGGATGGAGTTGAAAAGAGAGAAAACGTTTCTATTTTTCATTTATTTAAGTCATTATTGTTAAAAATTCCCCTTCTGTTGAAATGTTCAAAAATGTGGGTCTGAGTGATCTAACATATACAGGGTGTTCCCTACCGATTGTGAAAGAGACATATAGAAATATAGTCGTTGATTTTATTCTTAGACTCAATAATACACTATGTCATTTTCTTATACATTTTTTATGTCTCAAAGAATAAAAATATCTATCTATCTATCTAAGAAACACATAGATAGGCAACATTTAATATGTACAGGTTGTCCTCAGATCGTCTTAACCGTTTGTGTCGACGATAAATAATTTTTGCATGGGATTTCTGCATTGTGGAAAATAATTCTGCTTAATGATGAATAATCTGGTATTTTTAAATCTGAAAAATTAAGTAGGCCTTATCATGTACTAAAATATATTTCTGTGCAGGTAAACTGCATTCTTTGTATAGGATATAACAATTTTACAATTCATCTAATCAATCAAATTCATCAAAATATCGAAGTAGGCTGATTATCTTCAAATTTTGTATATAACTTTATTCAACAATTCAACATTCAATTTTTTGGTAGGTATATGAAAACGGGACTTTACTTACTCAGAAAAGTTATTCAGAAATAAAAATTATTAGAACTTTTTAATCATACATAATCGTTTCCCAAAATGCCAAAATTCATTCATTTTTTTTTACTTCTCGACACCATACAGCTAGGACGATGTGTGTATACCCTGTACATATTAAATATCAGAAAATAATTGACTATTTTTGTGTTTTTTTAACTGATTGGTATATTATTATTCCAAGGACAAAATAAAAAATCAACTGCATACTATATTTCTAACTATTTCTTTTTAGGGGACACCCTGTATCATTGACCCACGTCAAATCACATTTTTCTACATTAGAATAAAAGCAGATTTTTTTTTTAAATATTGACTTTTCCTCTTTTCAACTCCATCCGTGGAATAAAAGAGAGTTAGAATAAACTAATAATCACCCGACGATTTAATATCATTCATTCAACACTAAAATTAGGAGTGGGCTTTAATTAGAACCTTGGGGAATTCCACTTGTCGTGCCATGTTTGGTTCATAACCTCGACATAGTTTCGCTGCCGTTTTAATCAGTAATTTTGCGAATTTGTAGAATACATTCTACGACTAACTAATATTAGCCGATTTTCAATTCCATGGTGTGCACAAAATTTTGTTCAAAATTGTAATATTTGCTAAGTTATGCGACAGCAGTTTTAGAAAGTGGC